GGGCCGCGTAAAGGCCGGGGCGGGGCCGCGACAGAGTCGGCGGCGGGGCCGCGTGAGAGCCGGCGACGGGGCCGCGTAAGGGAGGGCGGCGGGGCCGCGTCAGTGGAGGCGGCTGAGCCGCAGGGGAAAAGGCGACCCGAGGGGTCGCTAAAAAAAATCGCGCCTCGGGGCGCGCTTCGGTGGGCCCAAAAAAAAACGATCCTTAGAAGGACCCGCTCTATACCATGTGAGAATAAGCGAACAGGAATGAATGAACTAGCAGTGAAAATGAGTACAAGTAGGAAACCCTAGAATTGTGTACCCCCTATAGGCTAACCCACTGTAGCCTACACAAGCATAACATATATAATGTTTGACAGACTCAGACTCAAACATTTCTGGAGTCTGACCCTACAGAGTAAACTTCCTGTGGTCCCTGGATGCGAGTTTATCGAGACGAAGCTTCTTGGAAATTTCCTTCCAATATACCCACTTTGAGCAGTAAAAGTGCCAGCACGTGAGCAAGGCACGGTGCACCAGCTGTTTGACACTCGAATGCACTCGATCTTCACGATCATCATGCAGTGCTAAGGGCGTGTCTCTTTTTTGCTTTTATGGATTTTGACGGACTGTCCGGTTGTATGTAAACGGACAGTTGCAATAGCGAGTTTCGGACAGTCCGATTCAAAATTTCAAAACATTGGACAGTACGAAGGCAAAAGCATCACTTTCCCGAGTGCATCAGTATTCCAAAGTACTGTAGCATCGCCAGGCATCGTACACTCACGTAACCTCAGTCACACCCCATCGCCAACTTCGCATAGCCAGGCCGCGACTCGATGCCCCCTGAAAGCCAATCGTCAACCTTCTACATAGGCTATACCACACCAATTCAGTAAACAACGTCGAGGCACACACACGTAGCACTATCAAAACAGAACGATTGCAACGCCATGTCTAGGAGGCTGCTCCTATCAGTGCTCCACCTGCTTTAGGGAGGCTACCACGAGTTCATCGTCCGTCCAGCCTTTGAACAGCTCACGGATATCATTCTACTGCTTGAGGACGATGACCGCAACACGATGCGTAATGACCGTAGGAACCAGCGGGCACGATGGGATGTCCTTCTCGACTCCTTGCCTTACCGCATATTCATTGAAACGTTAGAGTTAATCGGGCGGTGTTTGACTACCTAGTGGAGGCGTGGATAACGCGGAACGGGGACCGTCGTCGTGTAGTGCCCATTGAGACAGTGGTGGCTATGACTCTAGTGTATCTTGGCACGGGTGGCACATTCCGTCAGGTGGGATTGCAATTTGGGATTGCAACATGCCTTCCGCCTCATCTACAGGTTCATAGCGTTCATTGTCAACGTGTTGGAGCCTCTGTGGGTTACACACCCCACCCTTGACCAATGTGCAGAAATGGCGGCAGAGTTCACTTACGAGGGGGGGATACCGGGTGTCATAGGGGCATTGGATGGGACTTTTATAGAATGCAGGGGGTTCGGACGCGACAAAGAAGACTTCAAAAACAGAAAGGGGTTCTACTCTATCCACCTACAGATAGCTTGTGATAGCAACGGCATTATCTGGGACTACAACGTCGGCTATCCGGGGAGTGTGAATGACGCGCGGGTGTTCAACAACTCACCCCTCCGAGAGTGCATGGAAGCAGGGGATTTAGGCAACTACATGCTGGTGAGCGACGCCGCGTATGCCTTGAAAAACTACACATGCGTCCCATGGCGTGCTACACCGGGACGAGCTCTGCCAAGGGCTAAGGACAAATGGAACACACAACAGTCAAGGCAACGGATGGTGGTTGAACAAGTGAACGGGAGATTGAAGGGGAAATGGCGGATCCTTGATGCTCGTATGGAGTGCCATAGTGACCGCGTCCCGCAGGTCGTGAGCGCGTGCGTCGCGATGCACAACATCGAGCTGACGATCGGTAGCCGCGATCGACTCGGCCCACCAAGCGAGCGGAATCGTTGGTGGCTCGAGGGTCCGGCGTCACGGCTTCGACTCACCGGCTCCGAGGTCCGCGGGTTCACGCCTCGTCTTCGGATGAAGAGGTGGACTGCGGCGATCTACGCCTCCTACTGCGTCGCTCATCCGCGAAGCCGCGAAACACCTCCCGGGTAAGCGCCACGAACTTGCTCCAGTTCTCCTCTTGACGCTTGTCGTTATGGTCGCGGAGCTCTCGAACAAGATCCGCCGTGCTCTGGGCTCTGGATCGCCCAGTAGATTTCCGACCTTGGCCCTTTGATCCTGTGTTACCCCCCTTGCCAACCTTGCCTTCTGGCTGCTGGCGAGGATACTGATACCATGCATGCCGGCTGCATCCCTCTTGCCCATCAGACGACGCGAGCGCTCCCCCGACTTGGCGACGACCACGGATCGAGACACCCGTCGTCGCACCTGATTCCGTCGCGGCGGCAGTAGGAGACGCCGACGGGATGGTGTCTGGCGATAGAGGGGACGTATTCCCGCGGCGGGTTGCATTGTCTCGAGCAGGGGAAGGTGCAGGTGACGCGGGCGGGGGATTGGGAGTTGGAGATGTGGGCGCCACCACTCCAGTCAGCGTGGTCTCAATAGCCACCGGGGGGTTGGAGGGTATGGGATGCGGGAGTGGCGGGAAAGGCGGTGGTAGCGCGATGCTGGGAGCCGGACTGTCCGTGTTCGAGGCGGCATTCGGTGTATGCGACGGGGACGTCGCATTCGTTGTAGATGGCCGACGACGAGCGTTTGCGGGAGGTGGCGTTACCGTCGCAGACCTGGAACTTGTGGCTCGATTGACGCCCGTGCCTGCAAGTACGGGGGGGATGGTACTTGGGCGCTCACCCCATAAAGCGTCGCCGAGGTGGAACCAAGGAGGCAGACCAGTGGCGCGTCCCGCCCCCGAGCGCTTGATGCGATCGTTGATGCGGCGCCACTGCTCCTTCATGCGATTGTACTTGGCTTTAAGAGCGGAAATGTCGTGGCGCCACGCCGGATTTTGCAGCAGGAGCTCCTCCTGGATGAGCGGATACCAGCTTCGGCCTTGCTGACCCGTACGCGCGCAGATTTGGGCCTGGCGGGAGATGAAAGCGGCGAGGACCTCGCACTCCTCCTCTGGGGTCCAGCGCGGCTGCGTCCTCCCCGTAGATCTGCGTGACGGAGCGGTGGTCTCGCGGGTCGGGGACATCTCCTGCTCAGCGAGCTCCTCCTCAACCTCCCCGAGCGTCGCGGCGTTGTCCATATCTGCGCCTAGTCCGTAGTCGTCGCCGGCGTCGTATGAGGCTGTGGGAGACGGGATGTGGAAGACCCTCCAGTCAACTTGTGCGTTGGTGGTTGTGGTCGGGGTTTGAGCATTGGCGGGAGTGGGATTTTGAATATGAGACTCTTGTGTCTCTGGTGCAGCAGCATCCGGATCAGGTTGGGTAGAGGTAGTAGGGACGGAGGTGTTGGGTGTGGTGTTTGCCGGTCCAGAGTTCTCATTTCCGCTGGACTGCTCCATTGCGTGCTGATTGTGGTGGTTCGGTTCGAAAAGGAATCGTCTTTGTAGTGTAGACGGGCTAGTGGGGGTGTCTACGGTTCAATGTTCTATTTGGCGCCGCGCGCCCAATATTTTGTTTAGACATGCGGCTCGGTGTTTTTTTTTCGTTTTTTCGCGCGCCAATCAGATGTCAGAGATTGAATTCCGTCCGTTTGCACGTCGAACTGACAAAGGTCCACATTGTGAACCGTTGCTTGGAGGGAAAAGTGATGTGACGTTTCGAACAGTGGGCGAAATCGCGAAGACCATGGCGAAAAAGTTGCGAAACAATGCGAAATAGGTAACCTTTTCGCGAGCCGGACGGTCCACGGTTCGAACCGTCAGCGTAAAAAAAGAGACACGCCCTAATGGTGTTAATGGTAAGTGGTGAAGCGGGAAATTTAACGGAGCCAAACTGGGAAATCTAGCCGATTGCTCAACAAATCGGCGAATAGAACAAAGAATCGTTGGAAGATAAGTTCTCCGCACATTTGGTATATCGCAATGTTTGGTGCTTTGAGACTTTTCTCCGTGCCAAAACGTGTGACAATCACCTAAATCTCAATGAAAAGGAAAGAGATTGGTGCACCCAAGGTGTAGGCTGGTCAGAAAATGATTTCGCTGCTGATTCGTACAACGCTGCCGAACAAGTTACGTGCAGCACTGCCTGGTTCTCCCACACCAAGCGACTGTTCTTGACTGCTGCCAGCTCAGCTGCGAGGCAGCTCGCTTGCTGGCACTTCCAAAGTCACGCGACAAGTGCCCCTTGCATTGCTAGCATCACACATGAACTGGAACAGTCAGAGCAAGCCACAGACAAACAATTGCTATAAATAGCGACAAAAATTTGGCTCTCACGCGACACTTGGAAAAATGCGACAAATCACACAAGTATCCTGCAGTGCTGATCATGTTCCCTGATGCGGATCCGCCGACCCTGATTGGTCAGACTGTCTGACTTCAGGGCACTGACCAATCAGAGTGCCTCATTTCTGGCCGAAGTGCCTTCAGAGTAAATTTTTTTTTTTGGGGTGAAGATCAGAGTGCTTGAATTTGAAGCGCCAGCCCTGACGTCGCCTCTTGTTGCTCTTGAAGGGCATAAATTTGTGAGGGAATTGAAGTGGTTGTATGGAAGAATCCTCCGTGCAATAGACGCAGCACATGTCATGGAGGAACCATTTGCGGGACGGTGTTCAGGCAAAGCAAAACACACATTCCCATCCCAAATCATGCGACAAATTGCTTTGCCCACACACACCATGCCTCCCACATCCATATCATCATGCTCCTCATCCTCAAAACCTCCTCTTGAGACATCTTAAAGGCCACTCAGTAATCACCAGCCAGCCACTCATCAATGAACACATAGCCCCACCCCGCCTCCTCCCAGAACCTGCTTCCCCACCTCGACCCCTACTCTTCCTCCCATAGCCCCCTACTCTTGCTCCCATTACCCCCTACTCTTTCTCTTATTATCCCCCTACTCTTCCTCCCATAACCCCCTACTCTTCTTCCCATAGCCCCTCCATTTCATCGCTCTCTTCATTCCCCTCGTGAGCATCCATGAATCCTCCCTCCCCCTCGTTATAGTCACCTCCTCTCCCCTCGTTGTAGTAACCTCCTCCTACTCCTCTTCCTCCTCCTCTTGCCCCTGCAGCACCAAACCCTCCACTGCTGTGCCCAAAACGGCCGCCGCTGCCCTCTCTGAAGTCACGATCGGAATAGTCACCACCAGCACCAGTACCATCACTATCATCCCCATCATCATCACCACCACCACCACTACCACCACCATCGCTATAGCCAGCGCCAGCAACAACACCACCACCATCACCACTACCACCACTGTAACCAGCAGCAGCACCAGCACCACCACCACCACTCACCCCAGCAGAAAAAAACAGCATAGCCCTGCCCACCCCCACTTCCCCTCTCTGCTCCTCCCCATCCTCCTTCCCTCCTCCCCTCTCCTCTCTCTGCCTCCCCTCCTGCCATCACCCCTGTAATTCTCCTCCTCACTCTCCTCCTCTTCACCTTCGCTTCTGCAAAAGGTATTCCCCCACTTCCCCCCTCCCCATCGCTCCCCTCCCCTCCCCCAACTCCTCCCCCTATTGCTCCGCCCACTCCTCCCCCTCGACCTTCTTCCGTCCCCTCTGCTTCCCCATCCCCTTGAATGCCAATAACTGCAATGTCTGCAACCTTTGCCCCCCTCCCCCTGCCTCTCCCCCTCCCCCTCCCCCTCCCTCTCCCCCGCCCCCCTCCTGCCCTCCCCGCCCCTCCTCTCCCCCTTCCCCTCCTACCACCCCCCTCTCCCCCTCCCACCCCTTCCCCTTCCCCTCCCCCCCTCCACCACCCCCTCTCCAACCCCCACCCCTCCCTCCCCACCCACATCCACACTCTCCTCTCTCTCACTCTCATCCACCCCTAACACTTCCACCCCTTCCTCCTCTCCACCTCCTCTCCCTTCTTCCCCTTCCCTCCTCTCCACTTTCAGTCTCTTCCTCTCCCTCCTCTGCATCAACCTCTCAGCCTTCTCTGTTAAAATCTCCTGGGCGTCCCTCCCCTGCTCAATCACCTGAAGCCACTGCGACTCACTCAGCGCATCCGTATAAACCACCTGCTTCCTCTTCCTCCTCCCCATCTCCACCCCCACCCCATCCTCCCCCACAGCCCCCTCCCCACCCTCCCCTCCCTCCCCCCCCTTGAAAAAACACCCACTCCGGCACCTCGTCCTTTTCCATCAGTCCAAGCCGCGCCGCCCCAAACTGCCGCCTCCGCATCTCATCCATCCGCTCAAACATCTCAAACTCCTCCTCCGATCTCGAAATCAACCGATTCGTCTCACTCTCATCCGGCAAATCAAGAGCCAAATCGGGAATCTTCCCTCGCTTCATAATCTGCTCCAATAGCTCTCTCCTCTCCTGTGCCGTCGACGTGGTATTGAACATGCCCGCTTGAATCACCTTCGCGTCGATCCCCATCTTGCTTTTTGCCCTCTCTAAAATCTCCTCCTCTATAGACCCCACGCTCACAAGCACAAACACCCGAACCTCCCGCTTCTGCCCAATCCTGTGCGCCCGATCCTCTGCCTGCTGATCCATCTGTGGATTCCAATCAGAATCAAATAAAATCACCGTATCGGCCGTTTGCAGGTTCAGCCCCAGGCCGCCCGCACGCGTGCTCAGCAGGAAGATAAAATACGGCGAATCCGGAGCGTTGTACAGCTGTAAAAGGCGGCCTCGTTCGTCTGTTTTGGTCATGCCGTCCAGACGCAGATAAAGCATGCCGACCGATCGCAGGTAATCCTCTAACAAATCCATCACCTTAGTCATCTGAGAGAACATTAAAATCCTGTGCCCCCCGGCCTGTAACTTGGGCAGAATCCGGTCCAGCAGCTCAAACTTTCCACTTGCCCGAACGCGCTCGTTGGGGGAATTCGGCTGGTAGGGATGGTCGAGTGCGTCTAGTAGAAAGAGGTACGGGTGGTTGCAGCACTTGCGCAGCTGCATGGCTGTGTTCTGAAGCGCTCTGGATTTGCCTCCTCCCCCGCTGTCGTCTAGGCCGACGCAGCCGGCGGAGACGATTTGGGAGTAGTACTCGCGCTGCCATGCGGACATGTCGCATTTGAGGATCACTTGGCGCTTCTGTGGGAGGAATTTCTCGACTTCGGATTTTTTTCGACGGAGAATAAAGGGACGGATGACCTGGGGAGAAGGGGGGAGGAGAAGGGGAGGAGAAGGGGAAGGGAGGGGGAAGGGAGTAGGATAAGAAACGGAGGGCAGTGGAGACGTGAGGAAAGAGTAAAGGAGGGGGCGATTTGGGAGTGGTATTCGCGCTGCCACGCGGACATGTCACATTTGAGGATGACTTGGCGCTTCTGAGGGAGGAATTTCGCAACCTCTGACTTGTTTCGACGCACGATGAAGGGCCGGATGACCTGTGGAGGGGGGAGGAGAATGGGCGGGGAAAGGGGAGGGTTTTGATGGTAGGGGAAAGGGGGGAGATCACTCGTTGGCACTTCTGAGGGAGGAATTTCTCAACCTCTGACTTCTTTCGACGCAGGATGACCTGGGGGGGGTGGGGGGGTCGGGGGAGTGGGGGGAAGGGAGGGTAAACGAGGAGATGAGTTGCGGTGAGTTCACTTGTCGCCACTTCTGAGGGGGGGGACTTCTCAACCCCAGACTCCTTTCGACGCAGGATAAAGGGATGCAAGACCTGTGTGGGCCGATGGGGGTTAAAGGAAGAGAGGGAGGGTAGGGGACAGGAGGAGAAAAAAAAAGGGGGGGGAGGGAAGGAGGAATGGAACGCAGGGGAAGGCCAGGAGGAAAAAAGATCGGAGTCAGTCCACATTGCACTTATCCGAACACAGTGCATTAAAACCTTAAGAAAAAAGGAGATCAACCCACCTGGTGCAGCCTCCGAATGACCAGCAGCTGCTCCTGCTCGTTCAGAGACACGCCTGCTTTGCAACCAGCCAGGTCAAACCAAACGCACCTGGTGCAGGCGTCAAATGACCAGCAGCTGCTCCTCCTCGTTCAGAGACACGTGGCACTTATCCGCAAACGGCGCATTACACCTACCTACCAACACCAAACCAAACGCACCTGGTGCAGGCGTCGAATCACCAGCAGCTGTTTCTCCTCGTTCAGAGACACGTCGCACTTATCCGCAAACGGCGCATTGAACCAGTCCTCGAATGTACCACGCATGCTTCAAACCAGTCACACCTGTTTTTCCTGTGTTCCTTTGTTCCTTTGTGTTCTTTTCAGGAAGAAGGGAGAGGGGGAGGGAGGGGGAGGGGGAGGAGGAAGAGGAGAGGAGGGATGGAAACATTTCAGAATAAACCCACCTGGTGCAGCCTCCGAATGACCAGCAGCTGTTCCTCCTCGTTCAGAGACACATCGCACTTATCCGCAAACGGCGCATTGAACCAGTCCTCAAAATTGTCGCTCGAGTTGAAAATTGCGGGCAGAAGAAAATTCAGCAGTGCCCAGAGCTCCCCGAGGCTGTTTCTGAATCGGCGTCCCGGTCAGCAAAAGTCTTTTCCGGATCGAGTAACCAGCCACCAGCGTTTTACTAAGTACCGACTCGTGGTTCTTAAGCCGGTGACCCTCGTCTACTATCACATAGTGCCACTTAATCTTTTTTAGGAACGCCTTATCCCTGATAATAAGGTCATAGTGCGTCAGAAGCACACTGAACTTATACTCTTCCCCTTCTGGCCCAGTCACTCCCCCCTCCTCCCCCTCCTCCCCCCACTCCCCCCCACTCCCCCTCCTCCCCCCCACTCCCCCTCCTCCCCCAGACTCCTCACTCCCCCAATCATCATCCACCACACTCCCTCCTCTCCCTCCCCTCCCTCCTCGCCCTCCCCCCCTCCACCCGCCCCTCCTCCTCCTCCTCCTCTCCTCCCCTGCAAGCGCCCCTCCAAACTTCTCTCTCAGAAGCTTCCTCTCGTCCTGCCTTCCATCATACATCACCACACTGCAAGAGGGAAACCACGCCGCAAACTCCACTCCCCAGTTCGGAAGCACAGCCTTGGGAGCCAACACCAGATGCGGGCCGTAATCGCCCTTTTTCTCCGCCATAAACGCGATAAAAGCGATCGTTTGTATGGTTTTTCCCGAGCCCCATTTCGTCCGCCAAAATGCCATTTAAATTGTTATTATAAAGGGAGACCATCCACTGTAACCCCTCCATCTGATACTGCCGAAGCTGCCGCCCGGGTGACAATAACGAGGGCTGCTCCGTCACCTTCTCTTCTATCGAATGCACTGCTCGATCATACCGCCTCTGCCCCTCCATTAAGTCACGCTTCGACTGCCCTGCTGCCCCCCTCCTGCGGCCCCTCTTGCCCCTCTCCTGTCCCCCCTCCCTCCCCTCCTGCTCCCCCATCCGCCTCTGCTGCTCCCCTCCCCTCACCTCCCCCAAAAGCAAACATCAACCCCTCCTCCACCCCCCACACCACCTCCCACACCACCCTCCCCACCACCACCCCCCACCCCACCAGCATCTTTCTGTTTCTGAACCATCGCCCCCAGCCTCTGTAAAAGCTCATCCGTTTCCCTAAAAGAGTATGCAACCTCTCGTTCTTACTCTCCTCCACTAGTTTGAAATACGCCTCCTGATCCCCAGCTTTAAGTGCCTGCACTCGCATTCGCTCAGCACGCGACGCCCGCTGCTTCTGACGCGCGTGCCACGTCAGCCACGCCGTCGCTCCGCTGCTTCCGCCGCCGCTGCTCCGCCAGGCTGGCCGCTGACATGTCGCGCCCCGCCTGCGCCACGTCAGCGAAGAACCGGGCGGCGGATTCTACCGAGTCTGGCCGCCCGACGGGCCCGTCGAGCCGCCTTTGGAAAGGAAAGGGGGAAGATGGGGGGGTGGGGGGAGATGAGGTTGGGAAAAAAGGTTGGGGAGGTAGAGTAGTGGGCGAATGGAAAGGGGGGAAGAGCAGCGGATGGGAGATTGGGGAGGAACAAGGGATGGCAGCTTGAAATCACTATTGAAATCACAAACACCAAAATACAGAAAAACTGACCACACAACAAAAACACATCTCACAAATAGGGGAAAAACTAAACGACAAAAAAGTAAACAAAAAAACCACAGACAAGGGTGATAAATCAACCACCAAACCCACCTCAATCGCCTCAGAAGCTTCAAAATCCAAATCCAAAACCCCGCCAACACCAATTCCATTAACACCAGCCCCACCACCAGCAGCACCGAGCAGGCCGCCGCCGCCGCCAGCTGCAGCATCCCTCTCCTTGCCTCTATCTCAAAACCCTAACCCCTCCTCATAGTAATCCTCGTCCCATAAGTCTTCCACCTCAGCCTCCACCTCCCACGCCTCCACATCCTCCTCTGATGGCTTCATGCCAGGTGGCAGCTGCCACCTCAGCATCACGCGCGTTCCACGTCAGCATGCGTCAGACGCAGCAGGCTCCAGTCCAGCAGCGGCTGGTGCCGCCCATGTGCCACGTTGGCCTTCATGATTCTCTCTTCCTCCTCCTTTCTCACTCGCTTCTCTCTCTCCTTATCCACTTTCTCACTCTCCCCCCTCTCCCAATACCTCTATCTCACTCTCACTTTCAACTGCTCTCCATTTCTTCCCCCCCCGCCCACTTTCCACTGCCACATCTTCTACCACTTTGACTGTATCCGATTCGTCATCGGCCAGCTCAGCACGTGCCACGTCAGCATCTGCCACGTCAGCATGCCCGTTCACCGAACGACCAGTCAGCTCCCCGCCCGAAGCCCAGTCAGCGATCCTCTTCTCAGCTAGCACCTCAAAACGAACCTTCCTCTGCAACCCACGAAGCTTCAGGCACCTGAGCTGGATCTCCATGATCTCCTGACAGCTGGCGCCTGCACAACCGCCAGCAAGGATTCCAGTTTCACAATCCTCTCTCCCACTTTCTCACTCTCCTC